GTATAACCCTATATTATACACAGAAATAGAATAGCTCACAATAACATCAGACCGTGAAACTTAACGATAAACTTCAGTAAAAATATTTGTAAAATAATATTCCATTTGTAGCGGCGTACTAAGATAACTTATAACTTATGTTAATTATAAATGATACGGGAAGCCACAACAAAAACACTGACCATCTGAAATCACTACAACACTGAACATAATAAATATGTAATCATTATTAAAGCGTTTCTAAGTCCAACTTCCTGGGCAATTATTTATATATTAGTTAAAGTTAGATACGGCAGACATGATATATGTAGTATGGAACTGTTTAGTAGGAATGTTAGAGCTAGCAGGTAGTACGATGTGAAATCATGTAAAACGTGCTTATATGGTCTATTTGAAACCTTGAAACGTAAGACACATGCTACTTACTCACGTGTCGGTCAGCATGGATTGTTGACCACTGCCATGGGTTCTCCTTATTAGGTGTTGGTCAGATATGCTATCTTGTTGAATTCCTGTGTTGATGTGTGTTACTTACTTTCCTTGATGGCCTTGAATGGCTTGTCCCACATACATACGGACTGGACAAAATAGAATAACACTTTGACAACAATAAACGTTGCTGAATAGAAAGGAGAAAAAAAGTGAAAATACAAAGCGTTTATACTTCGATGTTTTGCAATAAGTAGAATGCCATACAATATTCTAACTCTATCATCTTAGCTTTTATCCATTAATGAAATATGCTTGGATTCATTTAGGAAAAAGATAATCGATGTTAATTAATCACAGGTTAACCTATTTCTCATTTCAGTGCTAAAAGCAAAGACCTGCATATGAAAACTATCCATAAAAAATCTCTGAACAATCATTCCATCTATTTAGTTAATTAACATTCTTCCTATGCATTGTCTATATGAATTGAATTCGAAATCGATAATAATGAATTAACCATAACAGTGTCTATTTCCAGTTATCATTGATTCTGTGAAATAAAATTCACAATGTATAACGTAATTGATCTACCTCATAAAACGACACCAATCCATTATGATTGTAATGCACAGAATATTGCGCAACTAGGACAAACATACTACTAATGCAAACTTGAGTTCCATAAACTATGGCAAAATATTTACAAAAGAAATATTTACAAGGGAACTCTGGAAAAACACAAGGAGTATAAGACCAGGGGTTCCAGAAGAGTTAGTGGTTTTTTTTTTTTTTTTTTTTATTTCCCCAATAATTCATAACCACATATTTAATCGTAATTGTCAAGATAAATGTCAAAAGCCCCATGAGTACAAACCCAAATAAATAAATAAAAAAGTAGGTTAATGTGTATATTCCGATTCGTTCGTTCCACTAGGTAGTACATAGGTTAATGCAAAACTAAGGGACTTTAGGTAAGTCATCATGATGTTTTAAAAACCATCATAAACTTCCACGTATACTTGGTATTTATCTGACCTCACAACACTTTCCATAATACGAAAATAACTTCACAGCTTGGACTGACCAGTGTCCACAAACGTGAGGGCTATCCCCTTACCTGATAACAGTCACGTTTACACTACACGGGGGACCACACTCGGGGATTATATCACTCTTTATGAAACAAATTTTGAAATTGAAATGGTATAAATATGGGCTGAAAATCTCAAAACGTCGCTGTGATCTCTAACACATCGAGACGACGATACAACTTCCTTTCAAAATGCTCCGTGTGTTCTGTCTCACCCTCGCTCTACATGCGGTGCTTGGCCGTAACCTTGTACAGGTGTTACAGTCGTCGCCCAGCGAGTCTACCCTGGTCAGTTTGGTACAGAAAGCTGGTTTAGCCGATGCCTTGGGACAAGGTCAGTAGTCAATGTAATGATTTTTACAGTGTTTATATACATGTTGTTAGATGTATTCTTTTCAATGATGCATGTTTTAGAAGAATGCGTAATACGTTTATTTGTCAACTTCTTTTTTGTTTTGTTTTGTTTTTTATTTAATGAAAAAGAAGAAATAAAATCCGTTTCTAAGAAACTTGCAATCATACTATTTGTAATGACATATAAACAGATAATGTTTTAATATGTAGCTCGTTGTTTCACAAGATTAATATGCTGATACGTTCAATGGCATAATCAGTCTCTTACCAATTCCAGGAACCTTTACCATTTTCGCTCCTACAAATGACGCCTTTGCTAAATTGCCTGCCGACCTTCTGGCCTCCTTAAGCACGGACGTTAACGCACTCGCAAACGTTTTGAAGTATCACGTGGTGCCGGCATCTATTCAAAAGAAAGATGCATCCAACGAGGCTCAACTTGATACACTGGCCGGTAGCAAAGTTCGTTTGAACATCTACAGCCATAATCATGTAAGTAACTAATGTTATCATAACAGGTACTTACTATAGTAGTATACATTTATAGATGTGTCAGCATTTGTTGTTTGCTTTTGGCATACATCATGACTAAATAACATGATCTGACCACACGGGGAAATCGTTTACTTACCGAAACATACGTTATCTAATGCTCAATATCCATGTGTTTAAATGATAAACTTTCTAATCTAAAATGTCGATTGTTTTCTATTCTTTTTTGTTCTATCGATTCATCTAATTCATGAAATTAAAGGAAAAGAAATTGATTTTTTACATCAACTAAATTTCCTCCAAGTGCAAAACACATCTTTTAGAAAATAACGTTTTTCCCCCGCAATCACGTTCAAACATCGCCTGCTTCGACGATGTTTGTTGTTCAGAGATGTTTTCAATTCCTACTTACGAATTATTCCATTTAACATGCATCAATGATAAGGTGACAAAATAAGGGCATGATTCTGATAAAGATGGCGAACTGTGAAATAGCGAGGACGAGATGACCAGATACGACTCAAGAGTTCGAATTTCAGATGGAATATATTCATATATATCATACATATATAGTTAACTTTTTCTTTGTTCTCTCTTTTTTTTCGTACAAAACTCATGAATACATAATGCATGTACCAACATAATTTCTTTGCACAGAGTTTACAAACACACACACACATATATATATATATATATATATATATATATATTTAACTGTTCAACCCCGACCGCTGTTTCATGTGCCAAGGACCCTAGTTGAAAAATGAATAATAATTACTGGCTTAGTTGGTTGTACTAATTATATATATAATCAAAATTATAATTGTGAGCTTACTGGTAAACATGAAAGGATGATATATTTTTCATGTAGTTAAATTTATATTGGTCTTGATTGATTTCATTGTAGTAATTAACACTTATAATACAGACGCACTGTCTTGGGATTAAGAGGCTATTGATAAATAAGCAGAGATCACTGATTAGTTTTCAAAAATGCGCATGGGCAACAAGAATTCTTTAAGTGATACTATCTACACGTAATTATCATTTGAAATAGACAATGTTGTGCTTCTCTGATGTACTATGTTTAACACTTCACGTCAAACGTCTTAGGCCAATTTCATTATCGTCTTTTTAGCAACAGGAAGTTACTGTTGAAGGATCAAGAATAACGCACTTCGATATCGCGGCTGACAACGGATATATCCATGTTATCGATACAGTAATGCTCCCACCAGAGGGCAGCATCGTCGATATCGTTGCTGGTGCCCCGGAATTATCTGTTTTGTTATCGAATGTCAAATCAGCAAATCTGGTATCTGCTCTACAAGGTAAGTTCACTTCAGTGAAATTGTAGAACTTTAATAGTATATTTTAAATTTTGTCTTTCATTGTCGAAAAATATAAATCCATGTAACATTAAAGTAAGCCTTTTTAATGTTTTGATTTCGTAAATTTTGCATTGAAAGGGGACGGTCTCACTGTCTTCGCGCCAACAAATGAAGCGTTTGCACGACTTGGATCATCAACATTGCACAGCCTTTCCTCAAATCCACAACTTCTCAAAGGTAAGACATATCGATTTGTACAGTGACTATAAAGTGAAATTCTATTTTTTATTTTTTTTATTAATCTTTTCTCATTCTGACCGAAAGTCATCTCCATACACAAAACTTTCGCGTAAATGAAAATATTAGCAATATTGACTCAAGAATATATTCATTTCTCAATCACGTAATCTAGATTTTGACATATCTTTCGATCGATCTTGATTTTTGGTAGCCTCCAATGTTTCATAATTTAAGTTCTTAGCTTTATTGACGAGTCTTGTAAGGATGAAACAACAGTTTGATGCAGTTGATGCATTATTTATTTTATCAGATTTTGATTATTTATGGTTGGATTCACTTATATGTTTTTTGTTTATTTGTTTAAACACAATCCCAGTCATCAATGTTTATCTGGTGTTTTCTGTTATATTTGACCCTTTTTATAACTATAATAGTCACCACACATGAGCTTAAATTTGTTTTTAATTTTTTTTTTCAACTATGTCATAGTCCTTCGAATTAACATAATTACATCATATATATCACGTGAGCCTAACTGATTTTTATGTAATCAAAAGTTACATGTTTAATGGATATCGATTGTCTACTCATGAAATTTTATTTTTTTAACAATTTTGATGTAGGCTACAATGATTATTTAACAGGGAATTCGATATGGTACCTGTCTTGGATATTAATTTTCTCTGTGACTAGCTTATTGTAGGATTGAAACGATATGTAATATTGTTCAGATTACAAGCTCAATTCAATAAACCTACATTTAGATTGATTGTCCTCTCTGCATATAAGACTTTGTTGCATTGTATATTGTGTCATTACATGAAGCTAATACATATTGCCCAGTAACCAATAGTGATACATGATATACTAACATTCAGAAATCCTGGAATATCACGTGGTACCACACACCGAGTATTCAGCCGGTCTCTACAACAGGGAATATCTCAGGACACTGGATTCTCGACACGACGTCATCAGAATTGGAGCTACAGGTAGGTCAATACCTATACTTGATTCTGGATATATAAAGAATGACACATATTATATTATATTGATTGTTTTCTGATATTATCTCCTTAGACGCACCTCCTATAACACTCGAAATAAATTAAGTATGACATGTAATTTTGTCTTGTTGTCTCATTGTCTGGGCTGGGCAGGCAATTAGCTTATAAGTATAATGCTTTATTGAGACTGCATTGTTGTCACACAGTCTATATTTACTTATACTAAAATATTAATAAATAACCTTTGTTTTAGGTTCACATATCTATGCCAACACCGCCACAGTTACAACAGCTGATATCGCAGCCACAAACGGAGTTGTGCATATAATAGATCACGTGCTTGTTCCCCAGAGGCACCACGGATCTTCAATATTTGGAAAGAAGTAGGACACATATATATATCATTATGTATATAAACATACATCGTTATCATTTTTCTCGTTATTTGCATTGTAAATACTGCTATTTTTCAAAATAAAATTGAAGAGGTACTTTGGTTTCTCATGATTATTTTCTTACCTTAGTTAATAATAATTACTATATGGATAAGATTGAATATTATCACAACTTAAGCACACAAATGTACAACATACAAGAAATATACAAGCACTAAATTAACCATGACGTGATCGTACAGCTAACAAGTAAATTTCATCTTGTTAGTATATAAGATTAAAAGAAAAAATTACAGGCGGAACACGAAGTTCAATATATAAGCCTAATGACAGTGGCAGCGCATCAGACGGAAATAAATTATGTAATATTATATATGTCAGAAAATTTCAAACAGAAAGGGAAGACACCGTCAAGAGCTACGCCAATGTGGAGGCAAAACTTGTACTATTGATAGAGTTCTTTTTGATGTGTTAGACAACTGTTGTATGTGTTTTTTCCCCAATAAATACATATATGGAAGAGGATGCTGATGTCAAACAGAGTGTAACTAAGTTCGATTAACGATGGTAAACTATGAATAAAGAAACGATTTTCAAAGACGAGTTAAACAAAACATGGAAAATAAAAGTAAACATAGTTGAAGGATGGTCATCTGTTGCATTTAAAACAACGAATCACTAGTCGTACTTATGATCGAACACACCAAACTTCATATGTCCCAAATTTCAAATTTTTAATTCAAGATTTTATAAATTTCATCAATGCGCTATGTATGGTAAAGTTTCAAGAAAAAAGAGTGAATTTGATGTCTTATTTTTCCAGCATTTGAAAACTATTAAAATGTTTGAGAGACTTTTCCCAGATTTGTAAAATATATCATTAATTGTTCACTGTTTGAATTCTTGGAAAATACTTTTTTTTTATTTAATGTCTGTGTGTTTGTACCGTTTTAAATTTATCTTCTATACGCAATAATTCATAATCAAAAGAAAAAAAATTGTCGAGTGTTGAGTTATTGTTCTGAAAGTAACACTGTCTCCTATGTTGACAATTATTCTTATAGGCACTTGCTTTGTGAGGAATCTGCTACTTCATGTAAGTGAACAATCTAAAAGCAATTGAAACAGAAAATAATCGATATTTGATTTGTTCCCAAGATATGGACTAAATGAATGTCATATGCTACACTTGTGTCCTAGAAGAGATAAATAATTTAAAGACAGTATTACAAAATTGAAGTCCACAATCGACATAATAGTTTAAATGCATATAATATTTTTTGTCATTATGGAGTTTCTCGGGCAAAACTCATAATTACACTATCACAAACTGGCAAGTCATTCTAGACTGTCTTTAAGCACTGACTAGAGCTGACAAGGCCACGCATGAGGACCGTCCCTTTAGCTGATAACGGTCACGTTTACCGGACACACAAATATTATGTAATCTTTGGTGACACATTCAACATGGTTTAAATACCCACTGACATTATGCAATGTAAAGCTAGATGATATTTTGCGAGACAAACAGCCTTTCAAATTCCATCTCCAATGATCATATTCTCCGTTAAGTCTGTTTCTCCTTCGCTCCACATGCTGTCTTGGGCGGTAACCCAGTGGATATTATTTTGATCAAACGGTGAGACCACACTGGCCAGCTACAGTTATTTTTTATTTGTGTAATGACATTTTATTACTTCATTGCTTTGAAGATGATAATTCCATTCATTACTTGTTATGAATTTTTAATCCTTCAACGTATTTCCAAAATAGATGGGGTTTGAATATTCATTAACGCTATTATACTACATGACATATCATTAGGTCACTCTGATAAGCACGTTGGTACAAAACAGGCTCATCTCCGTAACTGCTTTCCTTTGTTTTCATATTATACATAATTCCCACTTATTTCTGAACTGTGTTTCAACTATTTTTTTTTTATTAATGTACAATGTCATCTGTTGATTCAATCCCTGTTATGACACGTAATGAACCATCTTTCTACATTTCAGAAGTAAAAGAGTATCACTTGATACCTGGGACAGAGTACTGACCCAGTCTGAACAACCATGAGTATTTCAGGTGTTACATGTATGTAAAATAGATAATACAGGTATGTGAAATAGGCGTGATATATATATATATATGAGATATAGGTACTGGATTGCATTCAATACATATAGAAGTATTACCTTAGCATATTTCCATGGATCAATGTTTCTTACAAGAGTTCGGACAAACAATATCAGCCGGACTCTAATTATGCCTCTAATTATTTGATATATATTTTTACAACATTGAAATTGTTGTGATATTCTTTTATTCTGAAATTGTCTACAGTATTGAGGTTGTTGCGATTTTTTATTCTGAAAATGTCTACAGAATTGAAGTTGTTGTGATGTTTTTTCATTCTGAAATCTTTTAATCTTTTACTTTTTTTGTTCCCAACCTTTATATGAATCAACAATGCTATGCATTACATGGACCTCAATAGATGTCAACAGCGCTAAATTTAGTTGTCAATAACAGCGTCAATATTCCACCACAGGACATAGGATCAGCAATATTTGTGAAAAATAAATAATCGTGAACTCAGTAACAGTTCACCATTTCAAGTCATATATCACTTCCATTGTTTTTTTTATTGTAGATATTAGTTAATGTTTACAGTATAGCTCAATATGCTTTTAAGTGGTAGTTTTACATTGGAAAAATTGAAACCAAAACTTCCATTTATCAGACAACATAAAACCCACAACTACATATCTACTACATTGTCAACATTAAAACATTATACCACATATTGAAAGAACTTGAAGGGTAAACACTACATTGAGAGAGCGAACAAATACCTTACAGAACTTTTCTGTTATTTTTGCAAAATTAGTAATCAATCAATATGCCAGGCTTGTCGTATAGAAAAACAGCGTTAACGTTACAGCGAGTAACCCCTCAATAACAAATTCAAATTTAAATTTTAAAATCTGTTGTTACTTTTTAGAAAAGACCAATCATACTTCAACATTCCAAAATACAACCACCGTGAGGCAAATGATAATTGCATAGAAGTGTATGAATAGTAAGACGCTTAAAATCTTCAAAAAACGCTCGGGTAGCCTTAAACAGTTTAATTGCATTTTTCCTGAAATTATTGGTCATGATTGAGATATACAGGTATAGCAGTTTGGTATGAAAAATACGTCATTACATGTATATATATTTATAAACTACATAATAATTACATTAATAGTAGAGAGATAAAAATTGTGTAAATCAAAAGTTTCCTCTGATTTCTAACATGTGATTTTCATGGCTACCAACTAAAAATGTTAAAATTGTAAAAAAAAAAAAAAAAAAAAAACACAATTTTATCTGAACACATGTCTTAAATTCAACGACACTCTCATGGCAACAAGCCACTTACATTTCAGCAAATTCCAACTCGTAAATCATTCACAACATGAAAATGTAATTCCAATAAAGTTATTTTTGGTGCACAGAATCGAGAATGCCCAAATAGTAACCTCCAACACAAAGCTAATATATTATTTGGAAAAAAATGAAACTCCACATTGTCCACTTCAACAACACAAGGCCAATTTAACTAAGGGTGCATTTTAAAATTTTAATTAAAACCTTTATAATGGGGTAATCTAATGAATAAAAATATTACCCACGGCCACACCAAGAAACTGTGTACTGCTACCTCGGGAGTTATCTTTCTTCCACTGTTTGAGATGCCAACAAGTCCTATTCCAATGTACAATAAAACAGGACACTTTCTGATTGGGATTTTACCCCACTTAAGGCAAACAATCATGCATCTGTCAACACTCTAGATTACTGATATATTTGTAGATGTGTTTAATTGTCATGACTATAGTCCATTGCTATTGTGCCGATATCATCTAGCTTGTGAACTTTTAATCCGCGAGGTGTAGCCGCAATCTGCATGACACGTTTTAATTCACTTGTATAGTAGAACATGTCACAATATACACCTGTACTTGACATTGTTCTAAATTATCTAATTTATGAAAATTATTACTTTAATTGAATTGTGAAGCTATGTCACCTCTCCGTCATGATTTTTTGTATTTCTTGCGATCATTTTGTATTTTCAATTTTGGGCCCTTAGCATAACTGACCAGTCATAGAAGGACGAAACAGCTGTAAGATGCAGTTTACTTCATTAATTTCATAAAAGCATTTCTTATATATGAACTTTTGATTTGTCCACCCTGCACAACATCATATCCAATTCTAAACTGATGAAACGCCCTCGTTCTCTTGTTATGAGAGCTTTCCTTTCCTGAAAGGTGAGCAGCGTATGAATATATGGTTATGAAGTTTACCGAAGCGAAATTCGTGAAGAATACGTCCAAATTAAAAAGAAGGAGGACGAAATAATAAAAATGATTTTTTTTTCCGACTGACAACATCTTGGCGGTAAGATAGGTAAGTAGTGGTTAGCGCTTGTACAGTTGCTCCAAGAAAACTCTCAAAGAAGTTTATGGTTTTATGTTGACATTTTCAGTGTTTTCTTCTGGAAATTGTCACATTACTTGATAGCTACACTGACAAAGAAATAATCATATTCGATGCTCAAGAAGGAAATTTTAATGGTGGGAACTTTGATGTTTTTTACCTAATGAATTTCAACGTACTGTGACCATTGAACTATAGCTACTGTTATTTAGGTGTTTCTTATTGTCATTGGAAGCTGTGAAATCTGGACTTGTTAGTTTGTGACTCAATACAATTCAAAGATTTAACCTGTGTGCAAGAGCATCATGTAAATCCAATACAAGAACAAGGAGAGGTACCAGAGCTAGAGTAAATTTCATAAGATCTATATGCTCAATATGTACTATAAGGAACTATTCTGTAAACATCCATATTAAACAACTGGGAATTTATCACAACAACTTTGTGCAATTAACTATTCTGAATGGATTTTCAACACCTATGTCATTACAATACGTACAT